ATGTCGATTACATTATCATAATAGTGTCCAACCACATATGTTATATTAGTATTGCCCACATTATGATTTCATTGGTTCTAAGGGAGGAAAAGCATTTGCAAATGCCCTTTGCATAAACACTACTCTTAATTCTTTAACTATTTACAATAATGACATTGATTTTGAAGGAGGCGAAGCACTTGCAAGAGCCCTTTGTTTAAATCATACGCTGACTTCTTTAGATATTGGCTATAATAAGATTGGTTTTAAAGGAGGGGAAGCGTTCGCAAATGCTCTCGACATAAATACCACTCTAAAATCCTTAAAAATTCTTGGAAATCAACTTGGTTTTGAAGGAGCAAGAGCATTAGCCAAGGCTCTTTGTAAAAATGTCACTTTAACTTCTTTAAGGATTGGTGATAATGAAATTAAATCTGAGGGAGGAAAGGCATTGGCAGAGGCTCTCTGCATAAACACTGCCCTAACTTCCTTAGATCTTTCTTGTAATATGCTTGATTTTGAAGTCGGAAAAGCCTTAGCAGAGGCTCTCCATAACAATGCTAAATTGACCTACTTAAATCTTGATGAAAATTATATTAATTTCAAAAACTGCAAAAATTCAAGAAGGGTAAGTGCATTAAAAAAATTTTTCTCGTAAACAATATTAACATACTTATTAGATATTTAAGCGAAAAGCAGTATTATTAAATTCTCAATAAATAAGATTATTGGCTAAGGCTTTGCGAACAATGAAATGTGTTTCGTTTTTTCTAGTTTAAAGATTTTACTAATAAGCACAAATAAAATAATTTAACTTTAAATGGGTAGGGTTTAGATTATATGTTGAATTTAATCGAAAAGTATTACAAACTAGGGTGAAAATCGATCCTAAAAACTCTAAAACCAATTCTAGAGTCGATGATTGAATCTCAAATGCGTATGTTGGCTCATCATTATGTTTAAAGGTCAAATTTAACCTGCTTTTCAATTAACAATATATCAAGATTTCTAAGATATTGGCCATGCAACGATAAACTTGTTTTGCCGGAGCAAATGATTGGTCGACATGTGCCTTATATGATCATGAATTTATTTATTGCTATATCGAGATATTTGTTTTTATATGTTAAGATGTAATCGTGCTTTTTCTAATTAAACTCAGACAATGACTACTTGTAATCATGATCATACCCCAACCTGCGATTATTTTCATAATTTACTTGCAAACTACGATAATCAAATTAAAAAAAGAAAAATCCAAATAAAAATTGATTAAAGAAAGCTTTTTTGTACTGAGTGTTAGAAAAGTCACTAAAATCCCTTCTAGCTAATGTAGAGATCACGATGATTATTTATACAAAATTGATAGTTTAATTTTTATAAATAATGCTAGTATATCTCTGCATTAAGTCATAATGACTTCCAAAAACTGGTGTCTAATGGCTAATAAATATCCCAGTCATTGCTCCCTTAATGTAAGCAACACATTACTACCTTTTAATATTTTATTAATTAAATAATGTCGCTGTATTTAACTGATGACGAATCTAGCATAACTGTTACATACGGGGTTTAAATTATTTGCTGATATATATAATTTAGTATAGTAATCACCATATAATTTAGTATAATAATCACTTCATAATAAAATTCATATAATGCCGAATAGTAATCATATTTTTAAGCGTAAATGATTTGGGTAGTTATGCTAGAGGGGGCTTTTGCTGATGGTACTGTGTATCAACAAGGGATGGAATAAAAAGTTGAAAGGGCAGGGGTGTTTTTATTCAATAAACATGTGGAGGTTACTGTTGAAAAGCAATGTGAAATTGCACGATTTATTGGGGCAAATGATTCATTTGATATTGATAATGTAGATGTTGAATCGATATCAATACAGTATGTAGAGTTCAAGTAGAGAATTAAAGGATAGGATGGTGAGAATAATGTAATGGAAAATGAGTTGAAAAGGCATGAAACCAATGAAATCATAATGTGGGCAATACTAATATAACATATGTGGTTGGACACTATTATGATAATGTAATCGACATCGAAAAGAATTAACCCAAGCATTTCTATATCAAAAATCAGCAGAAATGTGTCATGTTAACCAGGTGATACAAAAGCATTAGGAAGTTGAGGTAAAACTAGCCATAAAATATGTAGTTATGAAGGACACTCGGATCTAAGTGAATTGGTTAGGGAAATGGCGAATTCGCATTTTCATATTTCAATAAAGGGTTGGAAATTGAGTCAAACGAAAATACTTGAGTAAAATTTAGGATCTGCTGAAGATTAAAATCCTGGCAGTAGAGAGTTGAATCGGTGAATAATTATTCAGGCATCGATTAAAAATTTCGAGTGTCGAAATAAGCTTCATTCATTGAGTTTTTAATTCTCTCAATTATCGAGCATCGGTCAAAGTTAAATTTTAGCCACCATAAACAACCGTATACAAGGTCTCCATAATTGTAGACTCACTATATACTATACCCGGGTGTAAATCGCAGAATTTTATAATAATCAATTGCAGTTTTTTTTAAAAAAAAAAATCTAGACTGTTTGTTATAAATAAGAAATATGCATACTTTTTAAAAATTTTTTTTTAATGATATAAGCTCTCAACCATGTATTATAGCCGGGGCCTATTATAGGTTTTAAAATTAGTAAAATGTAAAAGACCTGGGTCTTGTATATAAAAGTTTACAGTATATATTCGATAGTGACAAATTTTTAAATAAAAACTTGAAATTTGATTTAATATTGAATAAAGAAGTTGCATTTTCTGTCAATGGTCTCGTAGAGTTCTCTTTGAATAATGAAGAGAACAAATCTAATTACATTAATACTATATTTCGGCTTATGAAGAACCAACATTCAATATAGGGAGGGTTGTTACTAATAGTTCTAAAAAGCAAATTAGAAATACGTGGTGGTCCAAAAAATGTCCTGGGTTTGACAGCACTTTGATTCGATCATAGTAACCAATAAAAATGGCGAAGAAACCCGATATGGTGGTCTTTACAAAAAATGGCATTTTTCAATTTTAAATGAAATGGTACGAAAATTTCGCTTATTTTTGGACGCAAGGAATGTTATAAGTGCGAAAGATAACGTTATAAAATCCATAGCTATTTGGCTTCTAAAACATAATATGAATCAAGGAATTACAAGTTCGTGTTAATTGTATATTTTAATATCACAGTAAACTTGTTTTTATCAAAAACTCAATGAAAAATCCGAATATTCGATCAAAATTTTTCATCGATGCTCGAAAATCTAGAGCTTGTGACCAAATGATGCTCGAAACTCATCGATTCCAATCTCTACCTGACGGACCAAGTAACCTTGGATGGTGTTGCCCATATGGCATGTGCATAGTTAAGAATGATGAAAAAGCCTTCAGATGGTATAAAATCGGCAGAAACGGGTGCCCGTTGGTTAGAATCCTGGGTGGTCTACATCAACTTAATATTTTATATATGTATATCTTCTTTTTTTTAATATTAGTACCAATTCGTGTCATATGTTTGTTATGCGTTACTTGATTATGTCGACGTCCGTATATAATGACATCTGGCTATAACATTTTTTTAAAAATTTTTTAACCTGTATACTTAATATGAAAATACCTCTGGTTAAACCAAATATCCTAGTATATCGGTCAATTTTGTTTGTTTTTGGTGTAGATATAATCAAAGTAATGTGTATAAAAAGTCTAATTTATGTCCAGTGTCTTTTTTATATTTCTTGCTAAGGCTTATTGGTTGACAAAAACAGTCTTCCCATAAACTTTCGTACAAACTAACACACCAAGCTGGACAAACTTGAGTGCATTGACATTCTAATGATCTGTAGATTAAATATTACATGTGATACAAAATAACTTCTATGTACCGATCATGCCGAAATCATAAACTTAATCGAATCGGCTGATTTTTATTTGGTGTTTCAGGAATTATGAAAACAGCTGTAACAATAAACGTTAAAATCATGAAATATAAGTTGTGATTATTATAACAATTTATCCCAATAGTTTTAATATTTTTAAATTTCTATTTTCACATTTCATTCTAATTTCTATCATTTTTCCTTTTTTTTCCGATAATAATTTTTTGTAATCATTATAAAATCAAAATTCTCGTTATAAAACCTTACATAACACAAACATATAAATACATATAATTAAACTCATGTCAATTATAAAAAAATCTTGTTCTTCAGCGTTTAGTTCTAACAGATACATCCCTATGAGTTTACTGTCACCGAGGCGTTCTGTTGGTCTACTCCATAATATTGGTACAATAATTCTACACCATTGACGGTTTACAAGAAGGCATGAAAATAAACTTGAATAATCATCTTCAAGGTTATTAAATATATCTATAAGGCACTCGTTCGGTAACATAGCCATTTTGAAAGAATTAAGTACGTACGTACGTACATACTGAAGAGTTTTTGCCTCCTTCCTATATACGTATAATCAATGTGTAACCTTGTAATCTGACCTTACTATATATAGAAGTGTTATCATTTCTAT